CCCCGAGACGGCCTCCGAGGTCTCAGACGGGCCAGGAGAGCCCTGACACGGCCCAAGTGCCAGCAAAGTGCGAAAGCAGATTGTCCAACAGAGGCCAGCTCCAGCGTGCCCGGGATTTTCAAAGGTGTCGCAAGCGAAGGTTCAACCACAGTTTCGCTCGTTTTGTCAGTGCTCTGCGTCTCCGCCATGCAGTTGCCCTGTCTCGCTTCATATTTTCTGAAGGGCTTCACCCTGTACCACCAATCCACCTCTGGATTGCCTGCATGGCCACGCCTGACCGGTTGGTTGCTTCGTTTTCTTGTCGTCTGGCTGGCTGGTTGGCCGGCAACTCGGCTGATTGGCTTGTTGCCTGCGTCGATTGTTGGCAGTCAGTTGGTTGTCTAGCTGGTTGCGCTCGTCTGTATTGTCGTTATCAATCAGGGAGGGTGGCATCGGAAGCGTGCGCTCTCAGTCATTCAGGAGAGGTGGGGGCCTCTGGGGCGCACGTGCGTCGTTATGTAGACAAGGGGGTGTAGCCTTGGAAGCGCGCACGCGATGCAAGGCACATCAAAAGATCGTGGTCTGGGAGGGCACCACTAGCCCGGAGTTCATGCACTCGTGGTTGTGGCCCCGTGAGAGCGAACGCGTCACAGTTTACAAGCCCCGGAAGCCCGCTGCTCTTGCAATTCACGTGAGTGTCTAGGCGGGGTCGGAATGGATGGGGTCCGGGGATCTCGCCGCATCGCCGATGCATCGGCGAGGCGGCTCCATGTGGAGCCTGATTTTGTCCACGTTGGCGTCGCCGATGCACCGCGCAGACGTCGCCGATGCATCGTCTATGCATCGGCGATGCATCTGCGATGTGGCGCGGTCCCCCGACCCCAGATTCTCGCAGACTGCCAACGTCCCCACCGCCCACCGGCGATCCGCCCGCGACCCACCCAAATGGTTGTAACTAAACAACGGCGCCTGCGGCGGGTTCGTTGTAAAATTTGTGAAATTTAAGCGCCTGCGGCGGGTCTCCTCGCAGACAGCCTACGTCCCTGCCGCCCCCTCACTCTTATCCGCATCTGCGGGGTGCTATGTGGGGTTCTGTATGATCTGTATGAGCTCGATCGAACCCTAATCATCTGTTATGAGAGCTGGATCCAGCCCGAGTAGCAGCATTCTAGTAGAGCTTGATCGAGCCCTAGTCGGATCCTGAGAGCAGTAGCATTCCATCAGAGCCGATGCCTGGCGCGGGCGCAGGCAACATGTGCGCCGCCGCCGTAGACGTTGTCGCCGTCGCCGTCGTCATCGTAGACGTCATCGTCGTCGTCGTTGCCGTGGTGAGTTGGGGCGGCGGGTGGTTGTGGACCACCCGAATAATTTCTCCAGGGGGGGGCCTGACCCCCCTGAGTAATTGTCTTAATCTTTTCTCCAGGTGGGGGCCGGACCCCTCCGAATAGTTAATATTCCATGGTGGGTGGTATGGGGGGAGGAGGTCCGGGGGGTTGTCGGTGTTCTCCTGGTTTCTGTTTCCCCCCTTCGAATTTTGGGGAGGGGGAAGGGGGGGGGGGCGGGGGGCCCTGGTTACTGCCCTCCTCTTTGTAGATTTGTTCCCGGCCGGCGACGGTAGATCACGCTCCCTGCAGCATGTGTTTCGCAGCAATCGCACGCACTCTCGAACTTGAACTCGAAATATGCATCAACTGCTTCACAATCGCACGCGCGAGACCACTGCAGTCAAATGTTGCATGAAACGCGCCACTGCGCACAACAACGGTCAAGGGTCAAAGTGCAACGCCAGACCACATGTGTCGTCAGTTCGTCAGTTGGCCAGAACCCTCCCTCACCCTCATTGTTTCCTCCTCCCGCCCGGGACATTCTGTCAATTTTTCGGGCACCAGGATTAATTATCCTACTCCCCTCCCGTCTCGTGCCGACTCTGATTGGCCGACTGGCCGACTCCCCGACTGGCCGACGAGTGCACAGGGGTGGGGCAGGAATGGGATGATTTTGGAGGAGTGCGGAGGAGCCGGGAGGAGTGCGGAAGAGTTGGGGAAAGTTGGAGCCGTGAGAATTCGGCAGTCCTCGGCAGTCCTGGGCACTCTTTGGCACTCCTCGGCAGACCTCGGTAGTCCTCGGCGGTCTTCGGCGATCCTCGAGTCCTCGGGACTCTGCGGCAGTCCTCGGCAGTCCTAGGCAGTCCTGGGCAGTCTTCGGCACTCCTCGGCACTCCTCAGCACTCCTTGGCACTCGTCGGCGCTCCTCGGCACTCCTCAGCACTCCTCGGCACTCCTCGGCACTCCTCGGCACTCCTCGGCACTCCTCGGCATTCGTCGGCGCTTCTTTGCACTCGTCGGCATGCATCTGCACTCGTCGAGTCTCCTTTGCAGTCGTCGGCACTCCTCGACATTCCTCTGCACTCCTCGACAGTCGTCGGCGCTTCTCGGCCTTCGTCCGCACTCCTCGTCACTCCTCGGCACTCATCTCCTTTCAAATTCCCAATCTCCTGCCTTCCCCCCTCCCCCTTCCCCCGCCTTCCTCCCCGGAAATGTAATCCAGGGCGGAGGCGATTCGGTCCACGGGCCGCAAGGTCAGTTTTGCACAATTCGGGGGGGGCCGGGGGGCACGATGCACCTGCTCCAGTGGGTCAATGTGCGCGGTAGCACGGCCGAAAATATTTGGAGCGAGAGTGCGCATACCATTTCAGAACACGTGTGGGCCAATGGGGCACGGGCGAACACACGAGGGCAAATGTGCATACGATTGCAAACTAAAATCTTCAGGGGAAGGTGCCTACGACTGCATAGTATGACCTGGTGTAGACTGTACGGGATCTGACTCCATCTGCAATGAACGTGCGGGCGAACATGTGCATCTTTGCAGCTGGCGGAGCGACCATGTGGGCGGTCCGCCGTCCCCGAGGGAACGTTTCAAAGCGAAGGCACTTTTTCGCATTGCATTCCACGTTTTGACAGAACCGCTGTGCACAGCAAATGCACGCACTCTTCGCACTTGAACGCGCAGACTGACAACGGTGCGCACAGCAGTCGCACGCACTCTTCGCACTTGAGTTCACACGTTGGCAACAAACGCTGTACACAACAATCATTGAATCCGCCCGTACATACGCACAAGATACATGGTCGTTATTGATTCATGGTCCAGCATTGGTTTCTTTTGAAGCCGTGGCGGGGGGTCACGCATCCTGCAACGGAGCGAGGAACCATGACCAAATCAGTATGTCTCAATCCTTGGAACGGGGTAGTTGCGCTGCATCTGGCGTTGGCACAGAAGAGTTGAGGACAGGTTGCAGGGTGCAGAAGCGGAAGCTTCGCAGCCTGGTGGCTCCTAAGCCGGCTTGCGGACTATTGTTTCGGGAGTCTGCATGTTCCCAGATTTGGCATGAGTTTCCCTGCGTCGTTTGCCTCATGTCCACTGCACCGTTTTAATTGACCTTTCTGGCCTTGCGCGCGGCGCCCTGCTTTCGTTTCATGCGCGAGGCCGCTCTACGCGATGCCTCCTGATCCGACCCATGATCCACGCGCTAGTCGCCAGTCCGTCTTCAGCTTGCGTCACATTGGCAGCGCGCAGAAGGGGACCGCCTTCTAAGACGCCCTCTTGGAGGCAGAACTGCCGTTCTAAAGAGCCACCGCCTCGCCACTTGCCCCCCTCAACATCAGCCCCCGTCACTGGCGCAGATCATCTTCCCCGACGTAGGCCCTTCCCCGCGGTGCCGGGTTTTCATCCCGAGTCGTTGTTTGTTTGTCCCCAGTCCGAGAGACGGCATCAACGTGGCCAAAGACGCCGACAATGAGGTTGTTCTATTCGACCCCCAGATCCCCGACCGATGTCGTGATTTTTTCACAGCGTGGCCCCCAGTGGTCTCGACCCATTTCCCGGGCCAAGCTTTTCCTCCCGAGTCGTTTTATGTCGGTCCGGTGCCCGGCGAGTGCTCTCAGAAGCCGAACGTAACAAACAGTTGCCCGTCGTGATGCTTCTACACCGCGAGGGGGTCTGAGCCTGGCCCTCCTCATTGGATGCCAGATGTTGCTGGTCGCGACCGACGAGATTGGTCGCCAGCGATATTGCTTCTAGTCCCGGTATCGGTCGCTACTGGTCGTGACCGAGTTTATGAGTCCGTAGCGAGATGTCGCGACCGATTTCGAGCGCCGATCGGTCTTTTCCCGGTGCGACCCAGCAAGTGCGGTATTCAATGATTTGGTTGAGGGACGGGGCCCCAAGGACAGGAAAGGTTCCAAGGTCGGGCTCAGATTGTCTGAGCAGAAGAGCGCACATCGGTACAAAGATGACCTTTCGGAATCTCTCGGATATGTGCTGGACACCCCTTGCTGGCGCGCGGAGCGCGCCAGAGGCGATGGCTTCTGGTTTGGGACGTCCTCGTCGCAGTCGCCGCCATCGAGGCTCAGGCGCCCCGCAACAGAGGCCCTGGCAGCCCTTCAGGGCCGTCCTGGCTTCGGATCTGCCTAGCTTCGGCTGAGTCTCCGACCTAGACTTGTGTCGCAAATGCACCCCGAACGCTGCGAAGCAAATCGGCGTCGAGATCCGAACCTTGCCCTCGCCGAGCAACGATTCAGGCAACTCGATGCGCGGCGGAGGATTCGGACTTCGTTGAACACGTGGCAAAATCCTAACCGAACCCTACCCCCGTCCCATCGAATCCGAAGAATCGATGGTTGGTGGGGGTTCGGATGTCGCCACCGAATTGAGCCGCAAGTGCACCTCCACCTCAGAAGAGTAGGGCGGGCATTCCCCTTCAGGGCAGTGGGGCTGAAACGTCCGCAGAGGTATGCAAAAACATCGAAGCAGCAAGGCAGGGCGGACATCGACACCAGATGACCTCGGACAGTAGGACGGACATTTCCGCCCTACTCACGAGATCGCCTAAAGCACGGCGAATCCGAAGTCAGTGCGCAGGGGCGGAGATACGCCGGCGAGGGCCGGGGCCCGCCAGGGGGCTGCGCCGACGGATGCCCGGCGCCGCCGTTGCGGGGGCCGGCCCGGCCGGGAACTCCATGGTGGCCAGGGCTTTCGCGACAACGAACGCCGTTCGGCGGCGAGCGAGGGGGGAAGTGAGGAGGAGGAGGCTCTCTCAGAAGGCGGGGTTGCTCAGAAAGCCCTCTGGCCTTCTGGGGAGGAAGCCCGAGGCCTTCCGAGCTTTCTGAGAAAGCCCGCCCACTCTCCCTTCCCCCCTGGTCTGCCGCCAATCAGCGACAATGAACTCGGTTGTAAGAAACCTTCTTACCGCCGGAGATACTCAAAGAATAACATACTGTATTCGTATGAACTTTAGACGGTCCGCGTGGATTTCTTGGATCTGTGCTGGACCTCCCGAGCGGCGCCTCCAGCCCAGCCCTTGGCGCGCTCCGCGCGCCGATCCGAGAAGTCAGGCAGTCAGATCCGAGAAGTCAGGCACGACCGTCGAAGGTTTATCTTCAATGTAGTTCTTCCCTTTTAGAACACGAGCGCGACAAGGAGGGGAGTGGGGACGGGGGGGGGGCGGGGCACGCCACGACTCGCGCCCGCGGGAACGCGGTCGCACGGGTACGTTCCGCGCGGGGCCTCAGCGAAACAAACGCCTCTTATCCACAGCGTCGCGACCCAGGGGCCTTGCCCGCGAGGCCGTGGACGGCTACGTTTTTCGCCACGAGGTAAGGCTTCAGGTTGCGTGCAGGCTGCCCCCCCCGGTAGTCCCAGTGGGACTCAACATGCCCCCCCGAGTTGTCCGGGGCGTTTTCCATGACAGTGAACGCTGTTGTGAGAGGCAGTTGTTTTGCAGATTTTAGCACGTTTACTTGAATGGAGGGGGGGGGGGCGGAAGGGAGGGGCGTGGTGAGGCCCGAAAAGAAATTTGGGCTCCACGCACGTCGGGATTGATTTGCACGCCTTTTCCTCCCAGCGCCGTTTGAAAAGGCGGCGAAGGGGGGAGGTGCCATGCAAGAACATTTGCCGAAGCCGGTTGACAAGACAAGCAGACTCTAAGGCTTCGGGTTTCGCCCAGGTCCCTCCCCCCGAGGCAGTCCGGGCTGGCCTCAACAGGCCCGCCAGGTTGTCCCAGCGGGCCTCGACAAGCCCTCCGAGGCGGTCTCGACACCCTGGCGCCGCCTCCGGCGGCGCCCCTGGGGCGTTCCGCGCCCCAGGTATGAGGTGTTAAGACGACTCGGGACTACTCGGGCGCCAGTTGTGGCTACCAGGGGAGCCTATTGGGGCGGGCTGTGACTGCCTGGGGGGGGGGGCTGTCTGTGCGCAACCCGAAGCCTCCCCACACTGAACGCGGGCTTCAGCGTGACTTCAGGCCGCCCACACGACGATGGCGATGTCATCGTCATCGTCAATGTCGTCATTGTCATCGTCATCGCATAGACCCTGGCGTCGCAATTTTTTCACACCCGGCGATTTCACCCTCCTTCGGGCCCTAGCGTCCTCGCGGGTCGATCAGGCTTAAAGATGCGGCAGGGCGATTTGGTTTCGGGCTTTGCTCGCGATGTTCTGCGACGCTTCAATTTTCTCGTGACGTCGGATCTCAAGCCAGATCGGGTCGAAGTACAGTCGACGCGGCTGCAACCCCGCCGCCGTGCATTCTAGGCTGAAGACCGCCAGTGGCCCAGAGCTGGTCAATATGGGATGACTCGGCGATGAAAGAGCCGCCGACCGTTCAGAGTTGAACGATCCACACGGTGTCAGCGACCAACGCTGGTGTCGTCACGACACGAGCCCGCCGTAGATGGGGGTTGGTGGATCGCTCAGTACCGCTGATGCATCGGCGATGAGGCTCGATTCGGAGTCCTGTCTTCCTCCTCTCGACGTCGCTGGTGCACTGGCGATGCGGCGCGATCCTCCGACCCCACCTGCTCGGGACCCACGTGGTCGGCTTCCAAGGCATGAGGGAGTGTTTGCTCCGCCAGCCTTTGCCACCAGGGGCGGGTTCTGGGGGCCTTCCATGGCCTGGGGCACTCCGAGGACGATCCCCCGCCGCAAGGAGTTGGTCCCTGGGAGGGGGCCCCTCGACTTCGGGGGCGGCGAGCCTTGAAAGAACTGCGGCGTCGGGGGTTTGGCAGATGAGCGGGGGCAGTGAGATGGCGCTCCCCGCCCCCCCGCCCCTCTCGCTGGCCCCTTCCTCCCCTGCCTCCCTCCCCCCCGTCCCCGCGCCCCTCTCCGTCTTAGACGCTGTCTCCTGGCTCTCCAGAAAGATTCCATATGAGTGCAGCTCTCCTCTCTCCCTCGAAGTTGGCCAGGGCGTCGCCCGCCCCCCTCGTTTGCACAGCCTGGTGCCGAGCTGTTCTTTCTTAGCGTGCTTGTTTTAATCCGAACGTTCCCGGTCCTTCCAAAATGGTGTTCCCGCTGCATCGCGGGCCTCATTTCAGGATTCCGGCTGTGCTCCCGTCCTTCAGCATGGCGCTCTCGCCCCACCGTGGGCGACTTTTGTGGATCCGAGTCCTTCCTCATTGTTGTCGCCTCCCCTCCTTTCCACTTCTCCGTTGCCCTGGTCCTCCTGCTCCTCCCGCTTATTCTACTCCAGTTCCTGCTGCTGCTGTTCGTCCTTGTCATCCTTCCTCATCCTCCTGTTCCTCGTGCTCATCCTCATTCTGCGTATCTGCCACCTCCTAGTCCTCCCCCTCCACTGTACGCTGTTCCCATGTTCCAATTGCGCATCGCACAATGGTATTGTTTGTGGATCTCCAGGTCCGCTATAACACGCGTCCGCGGATATAGAAAAGCACATGCAATGGTAAGGAATGGGTTGGAGAGGTAGGATGTCAGATATGGCGCGATCGTGCCTAGCTTGTCATTTGTCCTTCTCGATTTCTGCGTATCCCTCCCCACCCTGAAGGAAAGGCCGGATCTCACTGCCGGCCTCGTTTGCAGTTCCGAGGATTGTGCCGCGGAGAACAGTGAGTTGGCCAGCTGGACCTTCCTTCGCTACAGCGTACTCGGCCTGATCATGCTCTGGCGCGTGTGCAGGCTGATGCGCGAGCCGCCTCCCATCTGGAAGGGCGACAACCCGAATTTGACACGGAGAGGGGGGCGTCAAAAGCAGACGGCCGCCCACAGGCAGACCAGGGAGGAGGATCAGGCAGAGGAGGAACAGGTTCCGATACCGCTACCCGCCCCCCCTCTTCGGATTCCGGGGCCTCCTGGCAGGCCACCGTCGCCGCGGCAGAGGCGCACCCAGGGAGAGGTCCGGGGCAATGCTAGGGGGGAAGAGGAGGAGCCTGGAGGACAAGCGCGCCCGGCGAGCGCGCGGGACAACGGCTGCCCAGGGCAGCCGCCGCGAAGCAAACGGGTGGTCGCACGGACCCCCTCATCGCCCAGGGATCGCCGGAAGGGGCCCCGACAGCCCGCCCTGCGCAGGAACGTGCGGTTTCGCCATCGGCGGCCTGTCGCGATCCATCGGCGGCGCGTCGCCGAGTCCAGCCCGGTGCTTCCCTTCCTGAGCCAGGGCCTCCCTACCGCTGCCCCCCAGAGGAGGAGGGGGAGGAGGAGGAGGAGAGGAGGAGGAGGAGGAGGAGGAGGAGGAGGAGGAGGAGGAGGAGGAGGAGGAGGAGGGGGGAGGAGGGGGAGGAGGAGGAGGAGGGGGAGGAGGAGGAGGAGGAGGAGGAGGAGGAGGAGGAGGAGGAGGAGGAGGAGGAGGAGGGGAGGAGGGGGAGGAGGAGGAGGACGTGGTGCGGAGGAGAGGGTGTGGGAGGGGAGGTCGTGCAGATGGAGGAGCCCGAAGGGGGAGAGATGAGCAGGCTACCTACACATCAGAGGTCCCCAGGAGAATGCAGGACGTGAGCACGGGGCCGCCGCAGAGGTTCGTGCTGGCGGGCTGCCTGTTCGTCCTGACGGAGGGCGTCGGGCTCGCTGTATATTTCGCCGTATCCGCCGCGATGGACAACGCTGCGATTTTCTTCGGCAGCGCTGAACCTGCGTTGTGCAAGACGGTCAAGGCCGTATCGTTGTACTCGATGGCTCTCGTCACGTTCTTGCCGAATGTGTTTCTTGGCGTGTTGGGGCAGAGGAGGTTCTACAACGGGAAGGATATGGGTTCCAAAGTCTTGTTCGTCGTGGCAATGGTTTTTATCACTGTCGCATCCTTCCGAATACGCATCTGGCTCGTGTACCGGGAGGGCTATGCCAATTATGTAAGCAGTTCGCTCGAGGTTTTTGGTCCGTCCTGGAGGGTCGTGCTGGCCGTGGTCGTTCCTCCGCTGGTCGACGGCATTCAGAGCCTCGCGCTCATCGCCACTGGCATGCAGACGGAGCAGAACAAAGTATCTCAGGATGCAACTACTGGGAGATTGAATTTTATTTCAGCATCGGCGCTGGTATAACCTTGGTCGAAAGCAGGCCTACCGTGTTGCACAATCCCGCCTCATCCCGTTGAGCTGGGCCGAATCCTAAGTCCATCCCGTAGTTACACCCGTCAAGTCTGGTTTCGGGGTCATGCAGCAGTAGCCATGACGGTCAGGATCGGTTGCGTCGCGTGTTGCGCTGCTGGTTCTGGCCCACCACGCCTCGGCGCGACGTCAACGTCCCCAGCTCTTCCTTGCCTACCGCTCCGCGAAGCGGAGCGACACGCTATCGGCGCCCACGGCATGGCGCGTCGCTGGGACCGCCGCCGCGACACGCCAATCAAAACCCATACCTCCAGCGTCATGTTCTGAAGGAGCGCCTTCTTCCGAGATTGGCAAGCCCCCCCCCAGTGGTTCGAACTAGGCGGGGAGTTAAAACCGCCCCCCCGGTCCTTCCCACCCCCTTCCCCCTTCCCCCATTTGGGACAGGGGGGAAGGAGCGGAGGAGAGTTCCCCCCCCCGTTGGGACCGGGGGCGGGAGGCGGCTCTCTCCCATGCCTGAATTTGAGCCTGAAGAGACGGCGGAAGGGCTAATTGTCCGTGTTATGCCTGGCAGCCTCGCCCGCCTCGCTGACAACAGCAAGCAAAGTTCAAAGAAAGCGCGAACAAAGCTCAACTACAGCTCCAGCAGCAAAGCTTCAATAAAACTGCAACAAAGCTTCAACAAAGCTCCACCGAAGCTCAACAAAAGCTCTAACAAAGCCCAACATCGGCTCGAATTTAGCTCGGTAGGGAGTCTTGTCCCCCCCCCTCTGGTTCGAACGGGGGGTGGGGTGGGGGGTGGGGGGTGTATGTGCTCGCCCCCCAGTTTCCGGGCATCTCGCCTCCCCCCCCCTGGTTCCTGGGGAGGAGGCGGGGGGGACATTTCACAATTACCCCTCTCCCCTCCCCGATTTGCCAGAAGGGGGGGACATTTTTCCAGTCCAGCGACGGTAAACCGCACTCCCCCCACGTTTCCCACATCGTGGACACTGGAGGTCTCGACCCATTCCCCGGGACGGGCTTCTCATCCCGAGTCGTTTTCTGATGGTCCCAGGGCCTGGCGAGGGCAGAGGTTCGAACGTCGAAAACTGCACCAACAGACTGCCGCCCTCGATCTCTATTCACGGCGCGGGGGGTGGCCGTTCAGCAGAAGACCTCCCCGTAGCTGCCTCCCGAGCAGCACCGTTGCACAGCGAGCAGCTGCTCCCCGGGCGCGAGGACTTCTCGGCGCTGCACGAGGCGCCCGCTCCCTCGACGGATCCTGCCCCCGCGCCAGCGCCCGACCCCGCGCCAGGTCCTGGCCCGGGCGAGGGCGTGGTCCTCTTCTCCGTCATCCTGAGGAAGGAACGGCTCGGGGCTGGAGGCGGGGCCGATGCCGCTCCCCTTCTTCGGCAAGCGACGTTCGATCCGTGCCCCGGCTGCTGCGCCCCCCGCAGTGGGCGCCAGGAGCAGCGGGGTACGGATGAGAAGACGTGGCTCCTGAGGCCAGAGTCTAGTGGCCTGGGGCACAACCCGCCACCGTGCCTGGGTTGTGGTTCAGAGTTCTCAGGGATGCTGCTGCGGGTCTCTTCGCGGCGCTCTCGGAGGCCTCTTGGGAGCAGTTTTGAAGCCTTTTGGGAGCGGGGGGGGGCCTCTTGGGGGCCTCCTGGGAGCCTCTTGGGAACCCTCTTGGGGGTCTCTTGGGCGGGGCCTCCTGGAGGCTCCCGAGGCCAGAATTTTATCCATGCGCCGCTCTGGCGCATCGTGGGGTCTGGACGCGAGCAGGCGTTTGGATAACATGTCGGTCGCCCGCCCTCCCTCGTCGGCACGGCCGGATCCGCTTCGAAACACTCGTCAGAACGCACCCCGGGAGCAGCGGTATCGGTACGCGCCGGTCGTTGAAAGTAGGGATGCCTGGGCTCCCAGAGCCCAATCTTCTCAAGCACCCTCCTACTTCAATCATCGAGTTGCTTTTGCTGTGTGTTGGTCTTTTCTGGGAGGGCCTGGCCTGAACCCAACCTGCTTCATCCACCTTCCTACGTCATAGCTTTACCTACTTCTTACAACCGACATGGATTTTCTTTTTGCTTTCCCCCGAAGAAGGCACAGACATACACGTTCGGAGGTCCGCGCGGATTTCTCGAGTCGGCACTGGACCCTCCCCTCCCTGGCGCCAGACGCTACGCCAGGGGTCCAGCGCCGATTCAACAAATCCCCGTGGGCCTTGGAAGGTTTGTCCTCAGGTTGCTTTTTCTTCCTCTTTCATGGCGGATGTCAACGGAGGGGGGTCCATCCAAGTGGTGGGCAACGTTGAGGCGTTGGGGGGGTGGACTCCTGGAAAAGGGCTGGCGATGCACCTGAAGCAGGGCTCCAGCACCCACTGGTCCGCCACGACGACGGTTGAGGCCCTCGGTGGATCCAACTCTCTCAGCGGCGTGGAGTACAAGTTCGTGAAGCTAAGCATGGGCGACGTCGTCGAGTGGGAGCCCGACGGGCCGGACCGAAACAGAAAAATACCTGCCGCCAGCTCTCGTGAAGACGTACCCAGGTTCGGTGAAATGCACGTCAGCGGCGCGCGGCGCGCGAACCTGGGCGGGACGGGGTCTTAGCGCTTGCTCTCTTGACCTCTTGAGCTTGGGCGGAGTGTTCCGCAGGCTCATTCACTTTTGTTGAAGCTCTTGCATGGAGTTATTTTCCGACACATGTTCCCCATGATGTTTCTACTCGTCAGTTGAGTTTGACAGGGGAGTCCGTAGAGCTCGTCTCAAGCTCGGCTAAGCCTGTGTTTGTTGTGCTATGAAATTCGTGTTTGGGCTATAGGGTTTGAGTCTCTCGCCTTGTCTTGTATGTCTTCCGTCGGGCAGCCGGTAGGTCGGCGATCCACAGAGCCTTCCGTCGACAAAATCAGATACACCTGTACATCTGCACGTGTACATATGTAAGTACAGCCCTCGTACCGTGCGCACCCAAGTTCCACGCAGGTATACTCGACCACACATGCGACATGCATGCACGCATGTATGAAGAAGGTCGCGCACTGTCACGCGCATGCGCAGATATGCACGCACACGCACGCACACATCGGGGGAACGTGAGACTCGAGTTTGCTGAAACTCTTGTTTTTCGCAGTTTGACGGTCTTGAAGTGAGTTTTTCGTGAGGCCCCGTCCCCCAAGCCGATTTTGGCCACGATGTTGTAAATCCCCCGCCCGATTTTTTCTGTATTTTCTGATTTTGTTGAGCTTTTTTTTCATCAGCTGCTGTCGCGTTGCCGACGTGCCCAAGTTGGGCATCTGCGTTGCGTGCTGTGTCGCGTGCGCGGTGCAGCGCGGGTTGTGCCGTTCGCGCGGCGCCCCGCGTTCGGCGCCGAGGTTGCGGCGTTTCCTCGCGGCGTCGCGCGCGAGGTGCCACGAACGCACCGCCGCTTCTGCAGCCGACGTTGAATTTGTGGTGTCGTGTGCCTGGAGTTGCGGGCGCGGTGTTGCGCGGTGCTTCTTTCGCGTGCGCGTGCGTGCCTTGCGCGCGGTGCACAGTTCGATGCGCGTCGTGCTGCGTGCCGGCGCGGTACCGTGCAAATAGCGCCGCGTACGTGCTGCCGCGCGAGGTGCCCGGTGTTTGCGCGCGGTGCCGCGTGCGCGGGTCGGGTTGCTCGCGTCGCGGAGGTCTCCCGCCATGCGCGTGCGAAGTGAACGGGGAGAGCGGGAGGATGGGAGGAGAAACGAAAGAGGGAAGCTAGGGAGGAAAGGGGAGTCATGCGAGATGGTAGGCGGAAGGAAGGGAAGAGCGGAGGAGGGATGGGGCGGCAAAGGGGGGAGGTGTTTGAAGCAGGGGCAATAGTGCGAGTGCGACAATTGTTAGTGCCCCAGTCGCAAGTGGGCTGCCGGCGGTGTGTTAAGGCCGGGTTCTGGGATAAAATATCTGTCGTTCTGGTTCTGGGATTCTTTTTTTTTTTTTTTTCTCCGCGGCGCCTTGCGCCAAATCCAGACAGCCAGGGGATGTGGATGCCTCTCTCCCCCTCCCCCTGCCGCCCTCCCCTCCCCCTCCCTCCCGCCCCCTCCCTCCCGGTCAGGTCCTTTTCTTCCCTCTGTCCGCCTTCCTCTCTCCCTCTGTCCGTTTTCAGCCCCCTCCCCCCCTCGTTCCCCCGGGGCGAGGCGCCCCCGGAGCGACCCCCGGGGCCACGATTTTGCCCACGATTTCGCCCACGATTTTGCCCGCGATTTCGCCCACGATTCTGCCCACGATTTTGCCCACGATTTTGCCCACGATTTGCCGACGATTTTGCAGGCGATTTCGACTGCCCACGATTTTGACCACGATTTTGAACACGATTTTGTTTCATCTTGATTCGAATTAACGGAAAATTGTTGGCAAAATCGTGGGCGAAATCGTGGCTCGTCCCCGGGGTTGCCCCGGGGTGGCCCCGGGGGCGGCCCCGGGGGGTGGCCTCGGGGGGTGCTTCGTCCTGGGCCCAGACCGGGGCGCCGCTCCAGGGTGCCCGGCGCGCGGCGGCGGAGGGCGGGTGCGCAGGAGAGGGGGGGGCCGTGGAGGGGCGCTGGGGAGGGGCAGGTAGTGGGTGGAGGACAGGGAAGGGGCGGGCAGGGGCAGGTTGAGGGCAGGGAAGGGGGAGGTGCGCGGGGAGCGGGGGGAAAGGGAGGGGCAAAGGGGCCGCAGCTGTTGGTCTTGAGGGCCGACACTTTTCGGAAACGGCCCACTGAATACCAGCGCTGCCCCGCCCGCCTGTTCAGTCTCGCGCAATGGCTTCCAAGGGGGGCCCGGCCGCTTCTGCCGCGGCGCCGGCGGCCGCGAATGCTCCCGCCAACCGGGGCTCATTGGAGCAGCACGTGGTCTTGGTTAATTAGGGCTCGTCGCGAGGCGTTCGCCCCTTTCCGCCGCGTCGCGGCAGGGGCAGCAGCGGGAGTTAGAGCAGGGAGCGCAGTTTGAGGAGCGCTACGATATTGACCGTGTGCGCGACGAGGGGTGGCGTCGAGGGCGGGCCCCCCCCCCGCCCGCGCGTGCCGCTTCGCGCCCCGAGGCCGCGCGCGGCGCGCGAACCATTCCGGGGCGCGCGGGGCGCGGCGCCAGCAAGGGTGAAAAGCGTTCATTGCGCGCCTCTAAAAGCCGCCGCGAGACACGCGCCCTCTCGAGCAGCAAATAGAATGAAAGCCCTGGGCTGCTGCGGGCCTCCCAGAAACGACCGCCTTTACTCGAGCGGCATATTGGCGTGTCAAAATTTCGCAGTTGAGTCAGAGGGGGCCATTGTGGATTCAGCCCCCCTTGAGAAAGCACGCAGGGCCCCCTTCGGCCATGCTCGAGCCGTCAAACGGATGGGGGGCGCATCGGGGGCCACGAGTGCGCGCGGGAGTGCGCGCGGGAGCGCTGGCCGCGCGCGTCGCCCAACGACCGCGGGGTGAAGTGTCGCCGCGGCGGAGAGATCCACGGCGGCCACATGGCGTCTTGGATCCGGGCCGGCCTTGGTCGCGCCTTCGCAGCGTGCGCGGCGCGTCTCAGGGGGAGGCGGCGCGCGACAATGCGATAACGCTCGGGCGGCCCACGATGCCATCCCACTGCCAAGCCTCAGGACGTCGACATGATGAAAAAGATTCAATTTCAAAATCGTTGCGGCTCCTTGGGGGGAGGCGGCCTCGCAAAGTTTTAAAGGTCCGGTGTCCGCGAGATGTTTGCAGCGAAAGTCAGCGTCAGATTTCAGACTGCGTCACGCCATTTTCTGGCGGCCCAATCTGGCAAATTCGAACCCTCTAAAACCGAGTCTTACGGTCGGGAATTGTTGGTTAGCTTCTCGCTCCGCTGGTTCAGGCCCACCACGCTTCGGCGCGACACGGTATCCACGTCCGTGTCACCAAGCGCCAACGTCCCGAGCTTTTCCCAGCCACCCACCCCGCCGGGGGTCGATGACGTCACGTTTCGCGCTGGCGGCGTCCGGGAATTCCTAGGAATTGCGGATGACGGGTAACACCAGCATGTAGGTGGCAATCTGCACCACAACGCGCGTGTACACCGCAGTGCTTGCGTACACCACATCGCCTGTGTACACCACGCCGCCTATGTACACCACATCAACCGCGTGCAACACAGCGTCAGTTTGTGCCACCGTGCCTGCGGGCAGAACAGCTCTGGTGTACACCACAGCGCCTTCGTACACCACACCGGCCGTGTGCAACACAGCACCCGTGTACACTTCGGCGCCTGTGTGCAGAACAGCATCCGTGTGCAACACAACACCATTGTTGCATATAGAACGTTAGAAGGAATCCTTATGACAAAATGGAGCATTTGTGGGTTCCACATAAATACTAGAAAAGGAATCCTTATGGACAAAAGAGCGCCGCTGGAATTTACGAGTCCCCCCGAGTCCGCCCGCACCACCCTAACTTCTCCCATCCGCGCCCAGGACATTCCAGCTAAATTGACTGTCCGAGAACCAAAAGGACCGATTCAATCGACCATTCTGCGGTGCACGCTGAGATGCGCATGTGCGCTGTAACGCCAACCCGCACGACATGGGGTAAGGAGGAGGAGGACGAAAACGAGGAGGACGAGGTGGAAGAGGTGGGGGTGGAGGAGGAGGGAGGATGGAAATCCGTCGCATTCGATTATCCGCACATTCCTGGCGTGGCGTTTAATTGTCCGCAACATATCGTCACATACGTTGTCTTCCTAGTTGTCCTGTGCACGCAGGCGTTGTGGTGTACACTGGCGCTGCGTTGCACGCGGATGTTGTGGTGTAGACAGGCGGCGTGGCGTGCACAGGCGCCGCGTTGCACGCAAGCATTGTGGTGTACACAACCGCTGTTTGGCAAATGGTTGCTGCGGTGTACACATGTACATTTGCGCTGTAGTGTACGCAAGCACTGTGGTGTACAAGCGCGCTGCGTTGCACACGGTCGTTGCGGTGTACGCAGGCGTTGTGGTGTACACGCGCGCTGTGGTGCACGCGTGCGTTGTGGCGTACACAGGCGCAGTGGGGCAGATCGCCACATGCAGGCTGCTCGCGTCGTCGTCGTCGTCGTCGCTTGTCGTTCGTCGCGTCGTGCGCGCGGGCGCGGCTGTGGTGCTGGAGCCACACGTCGGGGGGGGGGGGGCGTTACGTCATACCCCTCCCCGCCCCCCCCCCCCCCTGACGCCCGTCATCGCCGAACATACAGAAACGAGCTCCAACGCGACTTTTCCTCGTTCCCCCGGGCCCTCGTTGCCCCAGCAGTTTCGCAAACGCCTTTTCGAAGCGTCTCAAGTCGTGGGGCCGTCTCCCAAACATCGCGGGAATTGCGCGCGAGCGTTGGATAGACTGTCTCGGCGATCTCCGCGCTCTGAGGCTCGCCTGGCAGCAGTGGGCACTGCTGAAAA